GTTTATAATTTGTATGACTTTCCTTTGCATTTTCACGAGTTTTTCGTCCCTCCACTTTTACGAACGTAAAGTACTTTTGAACTTTCCAACACAACTTTTCTTTATTCTTATTATCTTGCGTCACTTTTTTTTTGTTATGGTAATGTGTTACAGGTATTACATGGAAATAAAAAGAGCACAAAATATTTTTCCCTTAGCTTACAAAGTGATGAATACGACAGATCGTAAAAGGCGAAAGCTTGTTCGTGATGAGTGAGTACAGCCGGTGGCGTGGATTTTGCAACATGTTTAAACGGCAAACACGCGTATTCAACCATGACGACCACATACTGAGAGGACTGAACGGTTACGAACAAAATCACGAACGGTCCTAATAAGGTAGAAAACCGGTATGAAACTTTACAAAAAGGACCTTTTACCCTAAAAGGTAATTTTCTGCAGAATCCCTAAGAATCATGAAAAAAAAATGTTTCCAGACTGAAGATGAGGGAGAAAAGCTGTTAAGGAAAAATTTCACCAGCGTGACGAAGAAGAAAGTATACAATACGCACAACGACAGAATCTGTCCTTTATGCACAGCCACATGCGCCACATGCTTAAAGGCTTAAAAGTGAAAGAAATCGGAAAGGGTAAAACGATCGTTTCTCAAAGTTCGTGGGTGAAAATCTGAGAGAAGCTGAGGAAGAAGCGCGAGTCGACGTTTCACGGCGTCTTCTCGGAGCCAGAGATATTACAAACAGTACTCACTCCAGACACTTTCTGTTAATTGTATTCTGGCCAACGACGTTCGCCTGACATAAAGACGAAACTACCGACAGATCAAAACGCACGATACACAGTCTCGAGCGTTTCGACGGACAGCTTAAGAGCGTGACCGAGAGAGGGTGAGCGGAGGCACCACGAAAGAGACCGCACACGCGGCACGTCGGTTTTTGCAAAAGGCCACGAGGAGAGACTCGCAGGCAACCGACTCGCCGCGACGAGGAGAAGAAGAGGAGCGAAGAGGAGCGAAGAGAGAGTCGCGCGTGATAGCGCGTGATCGCTATCGCGTGGTGGCGCACGTCAAAACGAGAAGATATTTACGCTAGAACGCGATAATTGCGAAATTGTAGCCCGGCGAGACCGCCGGCAATGACCACCGCGCGCGCGCCGGGCTCGTAACAACGGAATTAGCCCGCGTGTACGCGTTTGCTGTTGAAACGATTAAAGCTGAGAGTGACTTTAGTCGCGAAGAGGAGGAGGGACGCGTCGTCGGGGAACTTGACCGAGACTTTGGTGTTCGGAAACTGAGCGAATTTACAGTTTCTCAAAGTCTCGCGGCGAAATTCTCATATTCCGTGAATTTCCGAACGTTCGTAATGACGCTCCACCCGATGCCGCAACATCATCCTGCTTCGACCGACACGCAGGAATGCAAAAATGAATAAAAGATGTGTCGAAGAAGAGGAGGAGGAGGAGGAGGTCGTATCAATCTCGGATTAACGATCGAGCGAGCTCCGGCATTCAGCTGCATATTTCTAAATAAAATCTCGAGTCGATCAAAGTCTCGCTCGCGCGACGCGACAATTCCAGATATCATTTCGGTTTAACATTGTACTTTCTGACTAATCGTCCCGAGCGAAATCTCGCATCGTCATTGCGCCCAGCGCATACGGTGGACACATTTCGCCGTATAGCCGCAGCCTAATTCGCCGATGACATCGCGAATGACGTCACGAAGCGGAAAACCGGTCCGAGCGTAGCCGCGTCTTATTCCACTTCTTACGTGGGTTTCGTTAATTGACTTCGAATCGCCGTTCAAACAGAGCCACCGCGATCGCTGCACCGGTTCTCGTAACAGCTCGTTGGGGCTCTCTACAGACGGATCGCGTGATTAGGTTATCGGGGCAAATGCCCCGATCGAGAAAAAAAGAAGACGAGTTGTTTTTGTAAATAATATTTACCTATTAAGAACAGAGAGAGAGAGAGAGAGAGAGAGAGAGAAAAAGAGCAAAGCGCTCGCCATTTTGTGCATAAAACATAATTGCAATTTATTGGCCGCTTCGTGCACCACTTTCCCCAATATAAACTCACACAATCCCGCGGATGCGGAACGCTCGTATTCTTTTCGTCCTCTTTGTTTTATACATCGAGGCTGTAATCTGCGGAAATGAAGGGAAGAAAATGGAGCCCGGTGTCGGACGCGAAATAGCGGGAAGATTACGTTGGGAATAAGGTGCGTTTGTCTCGCGGTCGCATTAGGCACGGTGCATCGCGGCGCGGGGGTGGTACTTTACGAGGGTTTAATGTCCCCGGAGGTGCATCCTAATTGTGCCAATAAATCCCGATACGATCCTTCTCCTCTCGTTCCTCTCGTTCGGTTCTTGGCCGCGTGCGCGTTCGGCTGTGTGTGTGTGTGCGTTTATGTCTACACGGCGCGCGTGCACGTCTCTATGCCTGTGTCTGCGGACACGACACAAAATCGCGACGAGCGCACGCGGCGCACGCCCACGCCTCGTAT